AACGACCTGGGTGCGTGACCGCAGAGCCCAAGGGACAACTGCTTGAGGCCGGTCGCGCACGGCCTTTTTGTGGAAGGTTTTAAATGTGTTGGCTCCGTTCTTGTTGAGACCTTACCGCCGGAGACGGATATCCGTGGGATAAGGTGAGGTGTGCATTTTTAGGGTCGACCTTTTCTAACCCCACCCCTCCTTGTGGGAAGGCAGCATCGCTGTCATGCTGGTTGTCTGAAGGAAACACCTTACTGCTGTCACACCTCTGTACAGTCAACAGTACGACTTCGCCTTCGGACCTTGGATTTGTTGCTTTTAGTCTTACCGTTCTTTTATTAGTCTGTAGAGTTGTCTTGTGTTACCTATAGCCGCCACCTTTTCCATCTCTTTTGCTTTCGTTGCCCACCACTGCTCACAATCGTTCCTTAAACTTTTGCTTAACATAGATCTGATTTCTTTACGCTCTTCATCGTGTTCTGAACCTGATGGGATGAGTTTGCGATAATCTATCAGTGCAATAGACCTTGAAGGAATCCATTGGTTCTTTGTAACCCTGTGGTTTAAATCACTAGATGTCACTGCTGTTTCCACAGCTGCTTGTATAACTTTCTAAGCAACATCTGGGTCAGCCTTGTTTTCAGAACTACCTAAGCGTGACCTCAGTTGTTCCTGGAACCTACTTTTGGTTTTCTCGTTACTCAGTTCAGTTCTAATGAGTCTTTTTTGTGTGGCTTTTTTGCGTCCAGTGAGGCGCAAGCAGATGTGTGCTCGTATTAGGTCATGGTCGGAGTCCAAACAGGTACTCCAGAATGAGCGACAATCTTCTATTGACCCTCTCCAACGATGACTGATGACAATATGGTCTATTTGAATCCATCGTTGGTTTGGTGCAGGGGGTCGCCATCTTAGACGATGTCTCTCCTTATGCTCAAAATTTGTGTTTGCTAAAAATAAACGATTGTCTGAGCAAAGTTGCATCGGACGATCACCACTATCTGTTCTCTGTGCCGGAATACTAAAATACCCACCTAAATGTCTTTCTGTTTCGTTTAAGCTACCTACCTGGGCATTAAAGTCACCTGCTACGAGTACTATGTCTGAACGTTTAGCTTTCTGAAGAAGTTCAGACAGCTTTCTGTAAAACTCATCTTTTACATCATCTGAGCTGCAGTCAGTGGGAGAGTAGGCAGAGACGACGAAGAGGCAACGAAGAGTGTCCCTATCATTCCGAGTCCTTACTGTTCCGTTTAGTCGGACAGCGCACAGACGACTGTCTACTGGGATCCAGTCTAAGAGAGCTAGTTCCGCCCTAGGACTCGATGCTATACCTACGCCAGCGAGGCCATGGGAAGCAGCATCAGGGCTTCCAGATACACGGAGCGTAAATCGAGTTGGTTTGTTACTCTGACATGGTGAGGTCAAATGAATGACCACGCTAGGATCCTGTATGCGCGTTTTGGAGACGCAGCACACATCGATTGAGTGAGATTCTAAAGTCCCAGCTAAGGAAGCCTGTTGTCCTATTTCGCAGTGTTCGGACGTTGAAAGCTACTATATGTAGTTTAGAGAGTGGTTTCAGGAGACCAGGAATAACATTCCGCGTACTCGAATCGTTTGCACTAGTGGGGCGAGGTGATAAAGGGACGTAAGAAGGGTTAGTCGTGGAGATAAGAGTTATTAGGAGGTGTAGGAAGAATTTGAATGTGACCAACGTGGTCTCGTGTGCTGTTACGGGTATGAGGGCTGATGTCACTTTCCGGCTGCCCACACCGTGGAAGGGTATTTCTTGAGGAACCTGAAAAGAAAATCGGATTAGCGTCGGTCTTAACGACCTGGGTGCGTGACCGCAGAGCCCAAGGGACAACTGCTTGAGGCCGGTCGCGCACGGCCTTTTTGTGGAAGGTTTTAAATGTGTTGGCTCCGTTCTTGTTGAGACCTTACCGCCGGAGACGGATATCCGTGGGATAAGGTGAGGTGTGCATTTTTAGGGTCGACCTTTTCTAACCCCACCCCTCCTTGTGGGAAGGCAGCATCGCTGTCATGCTGGTTGTCTGAAGGAAACACCTTACTGCTGTCACACCTCTGTACAGTCAGCAGTACGACTTCGCCTTCGGACCTTGGATTTGTTGCTTTTAGTCTTACCACTCTTCAACCGACCTGTCTGGCATGGTAGGACCTTGAGGAACGGTTGTTCCAGCCAGTATAGCTCAGTTGCTTCATTACGATAGGCAAGCCCGACCACCACGTCAAGGTAGCAACAACGATCGGGTGTAGGAATAGATAAGAAGCTAGGAGCAACCAAATAACAACAAGGGCATCAGTCCATAAAGCTATTGATTGTTGTTGGTAAGTGCAAACTATCCGATTGGCGTTCGCGCGATCGCTGATTGAAGGTGTAAATCCACTCATTCCTTGTCTTCCCTGAACCTGATGGGATGAGTTTGCGATAATCTATCAGTGCAATAGACCTTGAAGGAATCCATTGGTTCTTTGTAACCCTGTGGTTTAAATCACTAGATGTCACTGCTGTTTCCACAGCTGCTTGTATAACTTTCTAAGCAACATCTGGGTCAGCCTTGTTTTCAGAACTACCTAAGCGTGACCTCAGTTGTTCCTGGAACCTACTTTTGGTTTTCTCGTTACTCAGTTCAGTTCTAATGAGTCTTTTTTGTGTGGCTTTTTTGCGTCCAGTGAGGCGCAAGCAGATGTGTGCTCGTATTAGGTCATGGTCGGAGTCCAAACAGGTACTCCAGAATGAGCGACAATCTTCTATTGACCCTCTCCAACGATGACTGATGACAATATGGTCTATTTGAATCCATCGTTGGTTTGGTGCAGGGGGTCGCCATCTTAGACGATGTCTCTCCTTATGCTCAAAATTTGTGTTTGCTAAAAATAAACGATTGTCTGAGCAAAGTTGCATCGGACGATCACCACTATCTGTTCTCTGTGCCGGAATACTAAAATACCCACCTAAATGTCTTTCTGTTTCGTTTAAGCTACCTACCTGGGCATTAAAGTCACCTGCTACGAGTACTATGTCTGAACGTTTAGCTTTCTGAAGAAGTTCAGACAGCTTTCTGTAAAATTCATCTTTTACTTCATCCGAACTGCAGTCAGTGGGAGCGCAGGCAGAAACGACGAAAAGGCAACGACGTGTGTCCCTATGCTTTCGAGTTCTTATGGAGCCGTTTAGCCGAGCAGCGCATAGACGACTGTTAACGGGGATCCACTCTAATAGCGCTTGTTCCGCCCTCATGCCTAGTGCTATGCTTACACCTGCCAGTCAACGAGAACTAGCCATCGGGTCGCCAGATACACGGACGGTGTATCTCGTCGGCTCTCCGTTTTGCCGAGGTGAGGTCAAATGAATGACCACGCTAGGATCCTGTATGTGTGTTTCAGAGGCACAGCATACATCAATGGGACGAGATTCTAAGGTTTTAGCCAAGGAAGCCTGCTGACCGATTTCGCATAGTGTGCGTACATTAAAGGCTCCAATGTGTAGTTCGGAGCGAGGTTTCAGTAGACCTGGGACAGTGTTTTGCGCACTAGAATCATTGGCTGTGGTGACACTTGATGAGGAAACTAAAAGAGGAGGTTTAGTGTATAAAGTCGATGTAGGAGGAATAATAGGAATTGAAGAGGGAGGTTGACTATGAATACGGTGGTCTTGAGTGCTGTTAGAGGTATGAGGGCGGTTATCACTTCCCGGTTGCCCACACCGTGGAAGGGTTCTTCTGGAGGTACCTGAAAAGGAAATTGGATTAGAGTTGGTCATAGTGACCTGAGAGCGTGACCGCAGTGCCCAAGGGACAGCTGCTTGAGGTCGGTCACACACGACCTTTTTATGAGTGATTTTTGTGTTAGCTCCGTACTTGTTGAGTCCTTACCGCCGGAGACGGATATCCGTGGGATAAGGCGAGGTGTGCATTTTTAGGGTCGACCTTTTCTAACCCCACCCCTCCTTGTGGGAAGGCAGCATCGCTGTCATGCTGGTTGTCTGAAGGAAACACCTTACTGCTGTCACACCTCTGTACAGTCAGCAGTACGACTTCGCCTTCGGACCTTGGTTTTGTTGCTTTTAGTCTTACCACTCTTCAACCGACCTGTCTGGCATGGTAGGACCTTGAGGAACGGTTGTTCCAGCCAGTATAGCTCAGTTGCTTCATTACGATAGGCAAGCCCGACCACCACGTCAAGGTAGCAACAACGATCGGGTGTAGGAATAGATAAGAAGCTAGGAGCAACCAAATAACAACAAGGGCATCAGTCCATAAAGCTATTGATTGTTGTTGGTAAGTGCAAACTATCCGATTGGCGTTCGCGCGATCGCTGATTGAAGGTGTAAATCCACTCATTCCTTGTCTTCCCTTAAATCATGTAGTCGTGTAATTACATAAATAACTACAACTACTAGTTGGAATCACTTCTGTAACTTCCGGGTTGTATTTAGCTATTATAACTCCATAACACTCAGTTCAGGTTCATATACTCTAAATCACAATATTTGCTTGTTAGAATTGCTCCGCTGTCTGAACCGAAGTAGACGGCGATGCTGAAATCAACAGCCTATTGGGTAACCTAAGAATTTAAACTGACGTGACGTTGACCGATTTTGAATACGTTGATGTAGGAAAATCAATCTGACAGTTTAATGTGATTAGATTTCATCAGCCGTTCACAAGAGGAACGGTCCCGTTGAATTCCCAAAGTTGAGATTTACTCATCAAAATTGTAGAAGGGAATTTACCAAAAACTGTTAGAATGAAGATGGCTTCTCCAAATATAGCTTATATGAGTATTTTCTGTGCATAACTATTCATCTACTAACCCGTTGTGGTTTCCTATTGAGAAATAAAAACATCGCACCATCTATTCTTATATAATAGTCATAGACTGCTTTACTACTTGTTCAGTACATGTTTCCTTATTTTAATACTATATTATTAATTTATGTATCATGTATTCACCTTCTACACTATGGTTTCTTGTTTATTTCAAAAAAGGTCTGATAGAATTAAACATGCTAAAATAAATCGATCAATTGTAACACCTGCCGGTTACTCGTTGGATGGTCCAGCATTTTCAAAATTAGAAAATACTAACCAAAGTAATAAAATCTCTGGTTTAGAGAATATTAATAATAACGAAAAATATCGCCTTATTACAAACAAGACAATAACAAGTCGTCATAAGCTTAGCATATACTCTGAAATGTCAACATTCGATAATAATTGTACCTCGTATATGACTAACGTAACACCATTTAATGGTCAAGCTAGTCTATTCAACTTGAATACTAACACTATCCCTACAACCAATATTCCTGATATAAACAATAATAATATCGGGAGCATAAATGATAAAGCCGCTGATATTAATCACACCGAGCCATCAATCATTTCATTAGAAAACCAAGCATTGATGGTCAGTAGTTCATCACCGTATGAATTAAATGGTAAAACTACCGTTATTTCTCAACGACAAAATAATATCAATATGAATAATACACAATCTCAAAATCATGTTCTATCATGTGCAACACTATTCGCTGCTAATGATGAAGAAAATCTGAATAATAATCCCATTAATGGAGATGTGGCAGTTAATAGTACCAATACTGAAGTCAATGGATTGAAATATTTACAGAAAATCTATTCCAAATGGAGTGTATTTCCTGTTTACATTGAAAATGAGAAAAGTGGTGTTAAACACAATAGTGGTAGTATTGATAAATGTGATACACTATATGATAACAATTGTGATGAGAATAGCGAAGAATCTTCACCAAGAAAACTTTCGATTTCTACAATATCTCATCATCATACTAAAGGACCTTTACATTCGATAATTAATCCGGTACAATCATTGGTTAACAGAATAAGAAATCGTTGGACTATTTGTCGCATACATAAAAAATCAAGTGGTAGAAATAAGAAAAATCATCAACAAATGAAGGTAAAGATGGAATTATGCACATTGCAGACTTTCCTTCACCTCCTATAAATTTATTTTCAGTTTAGATCACAACTTGCACTTAGCTAAACCACCACTGAAAACCAGAAAGCACTGGGCATCCGTTTCTTTTCAACATGGGACTTAACAATACTGCTCTTCCATGACCTCACCGAAGATCGAGCCAAAGATCTTTGATCTCTCAGCGAACGACTGACCCCTAGACTACTGAGCCGGTTTACATATTCACTTCTAATCATTCGCAGTAAATGTACAACTATCATCCTGTTCAATTGGTGATATTTTTTTCGAAGTATCTTTCAGGGTTAATCTTGTATATTTTTTGAAAATGTCCTGTAAATAGTGTCATTCATTGATTCAAGTACGAGTTGAAATCCAAATTTGTCAAACAGAATATAAACATCTTACAAATATTTACTTATTTTATCAACCAATATGTAAGGGAAAAACTCATTTATTAATAACGATGACGGTAACGTTCGAATTGGCATTGTGTCGATCAAAATTTGATTGTGTGTATTCTATATTTTGAAACATTTACTTATCAATTGTGTAAATATGTTTGACAATTATTAGCTTCAACACATAATCTAGAGAGCATAAAATATTCACAAACTTTTCTACCATAATACAAACATACTGATATATTATGGTATGAAGTCATTGTCACTGTGATCTGTTTGTAATATTTCTATCAGGTGACTAACGTGACAACGTAGAATCTGACAGAAGGAAGTGTCAATTTACATTATCAAAGAGAAAGAAAACAATTCTTTTAAAACTCGCGACATACGGATTCACGTACTTGGCTTCGAGCCACACTACAAATGTAAGGGTTATTGATATTACCTGGTTGCTCAAATCTAAGGTGGGGTAAGGCCCAAAAATGCGATCTAGTAAGTGAATGTTAAACGTCTTAACCTTTGAGCTACCACTCCACAAAATCAGAGAGCAACGAACAAGTGTTCAGAGGTACAAACTCGTAAGATTGCCAGAGATCAAACTCAATTCCAAGTCTGGTGGCAAACGCTTGACTATTAGAATTATTGGGTTGGCAGAAAAAGGAACATAAAAACCATAAAGTTTGGAATCATACTGCCAGTAATGGAATAAAACTAAGCATTAAAAATTGAATAGAATCAAGAACAAACTGAAATATTGTTTGAGATTTTGAAGGATGGTAAAGAATGTATATACCTGTGCCACGATGACTAAAACTATTAAAAGGACATTACTTAAACACGACTGTCTAATAGTGTTTGAATAAATAACTCCGCACCTGCCAACATAGCACACAGTCGATAACTTAATGGTTTGATGCTATGTTTTGTTCTGACAATCATTAGATCTTGCTCAGCCTAATCCTATAAAAAGCCAGCAACTAAGCGGGTGCAGCATACACTTCATTAACACTATTCAATAGTGGTTTGTAGTCTTATCAACATTTTATTGCACTTATTAGTACCACAAATCATAGTTACTATAATTATACACTATAATTCCTATCATCATGTATCTTTTTTGGAAGATGATAATTTCATTGATTTTTATACTTTGTTCAAATCCGTTTTCCTAGACAAAAACACGGAAAAAGACGAAACTAAAAAGTTTTAGCAAAGAGGCTGTTCGTGAATTTTCTGACTTCTCTTTAACACAAGATCTAAGTAACATCAGTGATATTAGACTGGAAGTTGATAATAATGGAAAAAGACATCGTAGACAAACAATCATTACAAATGCATCAATTTTTTCATTGCCCGCTATTCCACCAGCGTTATGGAATGCTGAACGCCCTGTATGGATTATGGGTGTACCATTAGAGAACAATGGTGATAATGATGACGATCACTGGTTTAAAGTAGACGCTAACAAACTTATCCTGTTAAGACAAAAATCAGAATTGAGCAATTTAACAGACAATAAGAATCATCCAAACATCACCGGATCATCCTCTTCAATTTATGCATTTCATGTACGACCACCGCCAAGACTGAAACCAATTACTACAAAAGTAAGCCGACTACAATGTGAACTTCATTTAAATCAGCATACACGCGCACAATCTGTCGGACAAATGCTAACTTCGGAAAGATCAGCTTTAAACATTACATAGTAATTATCATTTCTATATTTTTTCTATGAAAAAAAATTATTCGTTGTGTTTTCTTAATTCCCGGTCTAACGACATTCTGCTCATTATTTCATTTTCACAATCATTATACTAATTTATGACCGATACTCATTATCTCGATCATAATGACATTAAATATAGTTACCATTACATACCAAATAACTAGTTATAGGAAGCACAATTATCTAATAATTTCCCCCTCGCTCTCTGACACATTTCGATGTAAATACGCATAGAAGTAAGAACAATAAAAAAAGCTAGAACAACAATAATTAATAATATACATACATACATTTTCCATTAACATCATTTCATACATATATTTTTTAAGAAAAAACAAAGAATAAATTTTTCACATGATTTTTTGGTAGATTTCATAATTTTCTTTTTTTTCATTTTGCAATTTGTATTTCGGAGAAATGATGTTTTCTCCATGGCGTATAATATTAGTAATCATAACAATAATATTTGTTAATATTTCACATTTGAGACGAGAATATTTTTTATTGAACCGAAATCTTCAGAAAAGTGATCCTCCCTACTGTTGTTGATGTTTTTGGGGTGGGACGTTGTTTGAGAACGATGTGCTTGTAATATATGAAAGAGGAAGGGATAACGAAAATTAAAATAAAAATTGTTGACAAGAAAGATGAATTGTTATCAAGCAGTTGTTGAGTCTTGCTCCTCTTCAACAAACAGTTCGTTTGGTTTTTCTCTGTAAAATAAAAACATCGAATTCGAGATGATAAACGATTCATAAATCGCATAGTTATGCAATGTTTTACGCTTTTTCTCATCAACTTTGGTGTAGAACACTGAAATAACATGAACAATCTATAGATTGTTTATTACTCAGTCATGTGCGGCTCCTAATTTTTTAGCTTTCGCTATACCTTTTTTACAATCCACGACGTTCAGTTCAGGCAAGCCTCCGAGTGAGAGAAATGACCACTGAGTGGAATTTGGCAAAATTGAATTGATATATATATATATATATATATATATATATATATATATATATATATATATATATATATATATATACTAATAATTAGTATACATACATCTATCCTTCTGAACTGAAGAAAAATATGTGAGGTGAGGTCTTGAGCATGATCAGCTTCCTCCGATAGCGTATCTCGTCGATAATTTCCCACCTACTACTTGACCTTGAGGTGGCATGTGAACATAGATACGTGATATGCTTAAACTCGACCACCTGATCAAATATCACTATACTTTTCATTTATTAATCTTCATTCCTTTTGAACTATATTACTACAAACCTAGCTACCCATTGAAGATTATTTACCAACTTCGTGTTACCATCTTTTTATTTTTTCTTTCCTCTTGTCATACTGGTATGAGATGCGGTAACGCGGGTCGATGATACACGGGCATATTCATACCAGGTCTTGTATGTTGTTTAGGGTCAATTCAACTTATATATCCAGGCGATATTCTATCGCTTAATAGAGTTGATAAGCTCGGTTAATAAACCGCGTTTCAACGAAATTCATTCAATGTTTGTATAGGATTCATCAGTAGTCATTTATTTATTCACCAAAATAATTATTGCGCGTTTTATAACGTATTATCAGTTTACTTACAGGTGAACAAAATAGGGAATTGGATTTTTTAACATTTAAGATTTTGAGTGGAGTTGGAAACATGCACCGTTGAATTCTGACTTGGGGACCTATAATTATTGTGCTTACTACCTATGTAGTCTAGTTCGCATATTTTTTGGACGAGCTATATGTATTTATAGATAGATATGGATGTAAATTCTTACCGTTCATCATTCGAATCATTACAAAAGTTCGCCAGATAATCATTCGGTACATCAGTAAATTGAACACTTGGAGCATGTACAAGTTGTTTTAAATTATCATGAACTGTCATTCGTAGCGCTTCAATATACTACAACGAAAGAATTCATTAATAATAACTTGATGTAAACTTTACAATACTGAAGACTAAAACAATCAATGAATCACGTACAACACTGTTAAAATCGATTTGAAGTACTCATAATATTACTTTACGGAAGTAAATTTTGTTAATATATTCAAGTTGCTAATTAGTAAATATGCGTATTATAAAGAGGATCCATGGAAAGATAGTAGGGATATTTGTCCACTATATATTGGAGTCTTAAGAAAAGTTATCCTGACGAAAAAACTAGTTAGTTGGTTTCACTTTAGTATGTAAAATATATTCTATCAAAATTAATGTAATATATATCCGTAACTGGAACCTCAATTCAGAATCTCATTTATAAGGATAGATCTTAATTACTCCAGAATGTATAATTATTGCTACGAGGTTGGTCCGTATTTAAAAAATAGTAATATTTTGGTCGGCGATTTGGTGGGAATTAGCTTAATTTGTAACTGGTATTCATTACAGATTACATCATTAAGAACTAAGGATAACTTATTGAACAAGTGTCTCATCTTAGTGTGAGACATCATAACAGTGTTGTCCTCCTACTATCCCGCCCCACGATTCGATTTAAAAACTTTTACGTCTAATTGTGAGCCCGTCAATTTTGGACGAGTGTTTTTCGGTTCTCTATAACATTCTAACTGACGTTAATCCATTGCGAATTAATCACATTCTGATTGAGAGTAGGGTACTTGTTATCACCTTGGTTTTTTTCAAGCTGATCTACCACCTGTCAGTAGCTTAGTGTTAAGTTGTGCCAAAATTACTCCTTGAAACGCTACCAAAGCTAAGATATGTTAAGTGTCTTCTTAGTTTGGTTGAACTGACGTACAAACCACTGCCATTTTGTGAAATTTTCTTTTTTAGACCTAAAACAATCCTTTGGTTGTATTATTACCTCTTGCTTTCCTCGTGTTACAGGTTTTGTGGAAGTTTTGAGATCCTAGAAACAATACCAAGGGTTAGAGTCATAAGTGTTCAACGATCAGATGTAATATATATGATACGAAAGAAACTATTTGTCTAAAAATGATGTGGCTAGAACGAAATTGTTCAATTGGGTTGGTAGAGATTGCTTAATTTGTAGTTGGAATCACGGACTGACGATCATTGAAAATCAGAAAGTACTGGAGGACTTGCCCGTCCTAGTATAAGACTCTTGAGTAGTGCATATTTATGACCCCAACAGGAATCGTACTCATAACCTTTGGGCCTCGCAGCAAGTGTCTAACCTCCATATCGGACATGAGACGGACGTTGCTGGTGTCTGTGCATGGTCGTGTAATACTTTGGACAGACTAAAGTTAGAAATGTAAATCATTGGATCCCAGTTCTGATTTGAAGTTTATGCACTTGCCGGAAGACCTGAAGGTTCTTAGTCTGATCCCTATAGAGACTGTAAGTATGTAGTTCTGAGGAGTCCCGAGCTAGTGCAAAACAACCTTCCAGTACTTTTTGGGTTTTGATGGTTTTATAATGCTTCTTCAATTTAGGAGGTATTATTTTAGAGTCATCCCATGATATCAACTACAAATCAGAATTAACTTACTTGTCGTGTGTTCGCATTATCCAACTTAGTTGTCAAGTCTGGATGTAATGTATAATCAGGATAAAAGAATTCAATGTACGGGGAATAAGGTAATTCATTGGAAATTTCTTTCTCTTGATCGAGTAGTACAGCTGTTTCATATGCCCAACAGCGTGCTACATTCCGTACAGTATAACCGCCACCGCCAACAACCAATAATGGCAGACCAAGTTCTTTAACCATGCGAACACATCTCCTGAGGAACAAAGGTCAGAAGCAGGCACATTCGGAATGATCACACAGAACGTAATGGAATAATAACACCATGTAGGTTAAATATTTTCTTTAATACTGTGAAAGTGCAGCTCCATGGTTCAAGTAACTGATCTTCGAATAACGGATTAACGCGCATAAATTCACCTTACAAATTTTCCACTGGATCAATGGATAGTAACATTGAACTAAGCGAGCAATATAACGAGATTATTATTATTGTTTCACTTCGGAAAATATCGCAGCATATAATAAGTAGATTGGGTGGAGTTCGTTCCCTTAACAGCAAAAGCACGATATACTTGAAGCTAAATTTCCCAACCCTGACGTTTATTACGTTAAGACTCCATTGAACAGCCTGGATTTGTAAGCTGAACTCCATCTTAGTGGTCGGCTGAAAAAAGTTACTAGTGGTCAAGCATTCATAAGCAACATACCACATATGCACATCGGTTTGAGTTCCTACATTTGACAGGCAGATAGTAACCAATGGAATTCTCTGCAGTTATCCTGATATGTGTGACAACATGAACACCTCATACATTCGTCTTCGATCCCTATCGTGATTACGACTGACTCGCTGATGGACTCTACTTACGAATGTCTCGATATCGCCCATATGCACACTGGTTATATTTAGTGACATCTAGTAGTGAAATCCAAGATGTGTGATTCATTCGATTAAGGACATACTACTTGAGTAGAATCTTATTTAATGGTTTTAATGATCCGATTGAGAATAGTTTTATCGGTTACTTTATTGTTGCTGAAGAATTATTTAATGAAATTGAAATGAACAGCTTGTTCATGAGCTTAAATGGGTTTTATAACTGTCCGGTGCTTTAACCGGATCCCAAATCAATGGTGCACATGGACTGGCTCCAGTATCCTGAAGGAACAAATGGCGTATGAACCAATCGTTGGTCACCGGCTCCCATGGGACTGCATCTCCTTACGATGCTCCACTGCCTTGTGGATCGGACCTTAAGGTCGAAGGCTCGGGGTGTGGCCCCCTAAGAAAACCACCTGCTTCGGTGTGGGCACCTGTGCAGTATCACAGCCCTCACACATATCAAATGAGATCTGTGTGGCGCATATGTACCAATATCTATGTGTTAAAATAAAATAAAATAATAATTCATAACTAACAGAGAAACCAATACTCCGTGCATCCAAGCACATTCTCAGCTAATGTGTTTCATATATTATATTAGAACACAAAGCATAACTAGAACCAACATTAGCTTCAAGGAAAAGATTGCTTTTTATCACTATATGTTGAATCTACAAAAACAGTGGAGAGATATTATGTACAAGAATTATTGAATATTGCACCAATGGTATCGATTTTCGACCTCGTTCGGTTTTCACGTCAAAAAACCACTAAGCATAGCTAAAAACAAAACTTATCAAATAATCTCTCCATTGATACCATGTTTTCATCTAATCGTATACACGGTTGGCTGAGGGATGAAGCACAAATACTTCGGAAATCACGGCCACTAAAGCTAATAAACAAAAAATGGTGTTATAAACGTCTAAATGACTAGTTTATCCAAAACGAATCAGTTCACTTTTTTGTTACAAAGAATTAAAAATTAAAACTTACCCGTGACCTCTAATAGACAGATTGAATACACCTAACCGATCACAACCTAACGAATCAGCGCCACATTGAAGTACAATAGTTGTTGGTCGATAAAATGCAACTACGTCATTTATAACAGCTCGGAAAACACTGA